TTTAAAAGGAAATATGAAATATTAAAATAGTAGAGTTAAATATAAAATATATAAAAGAATGGATGCTACAGTATTATCAACATTGCTGACTTAGGACAGCTCATATATAAAAGATATTTTATATAAAAGTGGGGTTGAACATGTTTTGTGGCCAGCCAACCTTCCCCCTTTCTGTTAATAGTACTGAGCAAAAACCTATTGAAAATAATGGATAGGAAATCTAAATCCATTATGAGAAGGTAACTTACCTAAAATTGCATACAGAAAAGCAGAGCCCTCACTAAATCTGAGTACAATAAACAAGTTATTGCCAGATTCTGGTCCCAAATACATATTCAAAGCAAAGCACTTAGCAGAAGTTTGAAAAGAATAGAAATAATAAATTAAGAATTGCAAACATAATACTATTAACTTAGGGACACTAAGATTATATGATTTAAAAAATATTAAAAGAGTAATTTTATCTTAAATTAGAAATTAGGGGTATCTATAACTATCTACGAAGAATAATAAATTTAAAATAATAACCTGTTTATAAACTATGGAAATTTAATCCTTACTATTTAGAATTTCTTTATTCAAATATCTATTAATAAAATTAATTGGGTATTTTGAATTAAACAGTATTTAGTAAAATGTTTATAGTTTTTATTATTTTTTCTGATTTATTTGAAATTAGAAATTTATTGCGTTGTGTGTAATTTATAACAATATTTCTGAATATAGAAACATGCACATTACTCTCCCAATGTGGTACTTTTATAATATTGAAATTAAAGTCTTCTCGTTTATCATAAATATTAGCAGCTATTTTACTATCTTTTAATTTAATTTCTATATCAAGAAAATTTGCTTCATAATTGTTACTATTTGTCTGAATTAAATTAAGATATTGTGGATAAAAATTAATGTTAGGTTTAAAATTGTCTTGCTTGCCTAAAATGACAATATCATCTATATAGCGAAAAAAGTAATATTCTAAGTTATATCTATGAAACTATTTTCAAAATATTGTAAATATAAATTGGCAAGACAATTGCTAGCAGGGCCACCTTGTGGCAGACCCTTAATCTGTAGATAATAATTACCATTATAATAAACATAGTTATCTTTTAGAACTAACCTTAGTAGAGAACCAAATCTACCATATTTGACTTTTTTAAATAAATTATCTTTATGTAATTTTACAAGTGTTTTAATCATATTATCAATATTAATAGAATTAAAAAGATCTTCAAAATCTAAACTATATACTCTGAAAATATCTTTTTATCTTTAATTTGTGCAATGAGTTCTTTACTATTTTAAAGAATGGCTTAGGTTTTAAGATTATTTATTATAACTTGTAATATTTCATGGAGAATTTTGCCTGATTTGCTGATATATGTATAAAATCATTAGTAACTGTTCTGAACTTGACTGGGTCTTTATGAAATTTAGGAGTAAGAAATACATGTAGAAATTTAAATTATTATTAATTACTTTTTGTTTATGAAAAGCCAAAATTCGATTATTTATTTCTCTATCTGAAATTGATGACTTAATAAAAGCTGTATTATTATAAAAATGTTTGTTGAGCATTAAACTATAATAGTATTTACAAATAAAGGCAAAATTTCCTGGCACTTTATCAATATTAATTATAATAAATTTATTTTGCAATTTTTTAATCTGATTTTTAATATCATTAAAAAAGATGTTATTATCTGTACTAAAGTTATATTTATTAATCTGTTGTAAATATTACATTTAAATTCTGTGAATGCCTCTAAAGGCATACTATATTTAATAGCAATTTTGTAAATGAATTGCTCAATATCATTATATAACTGATTTTTGATAATTTTATTATTATTGGAAATCATAAATCTAAAAACCAGTACCGTTATTCATTATATTTCTTAAATTATTGTCTTTTACAATATTGAGGTCACCAGTAATAACATGCTGGTAATATTTATCTATGAATTATTTAAATTCATTACAATTACATCTTAAGTTTTCTTGCTTTATAGGTACATTATAGTTAAAAATTGATCTACCTATTTTTTTATTATATTTAAAAGCCTTTTTTTAATAGTGATATTTTGAATTAGGAAAGTTGCATGTGTTTTTTAAAAATGCTAGAAAAGTTAATATTATCATATGATTTATTCATATATAATAATGTACAAAATTCTGTTTGATATTTTTTATTTACATTGACTTTTATTTTATGTTTATGCTTCAAAAATTTGTGAATGTCTATTATGATATGTGTAAAGCATGACTATCTTTAATTTTATCTAAATTTAGTACTTCTTCCGTAATTACATATTTCTGTCTTACTTAGTCCAAACATGGAAGATTTAATGTGCTTTATATTAAAATTGTACTCGAAACATTTACATATATCATTAATACTATTTGAAATAACATTTACGTCTTTGCTTAACCTTTTAGTCCTATTCCCTCTAGTTTTTCTTATATTAGTCTTTTTGATTTCATTATTGTAAAAATAATGTTTAGTATTCTGTTTAACAGCATATATATATATAGGGTATGTTTGTCTCATTAAACTGATTCTAAAATTAAATGTGCCAGTGCAGCTATGGACAATAGAAAATTATCTCGATAAATAAATTGAATAAAACTGCCACTATTTTATTTAACTTATACTTATTATTTTTCGTAATGAATGCAATCATTTTTAAAAAAAGGCAGCCCTCTGGTAACCTCCGTCCTTACCAGTGGCGTAACAGAGAATATCCCCCCTGAAAAGTCAGGTTTTGCGCCTCAAGCCCAAATACGCCCTTAGCGTCAATCAGGGTTTGGGCCCTTTAGAATCCCTGCCCCCTCACAATGCTGTGATTGCGGGGATGAACGTTACGTCACTGGTTCTCACAATGTGACCCGTAAGCCAAAATAAGGTTCCCATCCCTTTTTTAAAATGTTTTAAGGAGAAGCAATCTTTATTCCTACCCATTTGATAGTCTCACATGTGGCCAAAAGGTATAGATGTTTGTTGTATGTTGAGGCAATTACAAAGATACTGTATGAGTACATTACGAAAATGGAGTTGGACATTCCATTTTCCCCAAACTTTAATGCTCTTCATAAAAAAAAACTCGGTGAGGTCGATTACTAATAACATCCCTATATGATGTGGTATATGGAGCAAAGATCTCACCTCGATGTTTCATAGCAAAAGGAATCAGTCCTTGGAGTACATGATAGTCAGTATGACCAATAAAAAAGTTACTAACCCAAATATCATTATCACTCTTCTATGACTGTTTCTTTGAACAATGCAAAATAGACGGTAACTAGTGATTCACTAGTTACCACCAATTTTCATTCATAGCCACATTCATTTTGTTTATTGCCCTCCGCCAGGGTTTCATTCATAGAAATCCAAACAGCTGTAGGGTCCAGCATCTTGTCCAGCATAAACAGGCACTTGAGTGCATTCGATTCAGAGGGTCGATGGCTTACACACAAAGGGTCGGCTTGCGCAGATTTCTTGATTATGAAATCATCTGCCCACCATAGTAACAGATATTGTCGTCCTTGTAATGCGGTATAGTGAAATGAATTAAGCTCATGTAAAGTATATTGTTCCTCCTTCTTCAGGTTTAAAAAAAAGAAACGAGCCTTACAGTAGTCGCATACGATGTGTAACATCTGACATGTTATCGTGGTAAATTCGCAATAGCAACTTAAATCTTGAAAAAAAATGAATCGAGTATGATTGGAAATAATTTTCTATGGAATAATTATATCTTTAATGGAAATTTTAGTTAATTAACACAAGGAGTAATGCAATTTTTTTATCAAAAATAATTATTCTTGTTCAATTTGGGGAAGAGCAGTAATGATAATTTATGATAACTAAAATATGACACAAATACTTGTGTTTTCAAAGTATTTAAAAACCGTTGAAAAAAATAGCGTCAATAACTGTACCACTGTTAGTTGTCGAAACATTTCGATTTGTGTTCATTTCGAGCTTGAGTTCATCATTCAAAAAAGCTATGAGTGGCTCGGCTTCTAGTAAACTGAAGTTAACTTTAAAATCACCACTCAAAATCATGGGAAGCGAGTGATAGTTTTTTTTAAAAAAAGAGCAGAACCACCTTCGGTATACGGTAAAAGTAAAAAATGCAGGAAATCTTTAATTTTTTGAACCGTTTGATTCGAAGAAATGTATACGACCACCGAAATCACTATTTGTCCATTTTCAAATAAGCATTTTGCCGCACATATGTCCCCAATATCTTGACTAACAATACTCAGTCAACTTGTTTGACGATAAGTAATATCCATATGTCGAGCCACAACATGTGAGTTGTTCTGTTTACGATAGATCCCAACACCAGCTACTTTGTGGCCCGGTCGTTTAAATTGTACGCAGCAATCGAAGTCAGGTATCGAAACACGTTCGTCATTATCTAACCACGTCTCTGCCTAAAGGACTTAGCTTCTTCTCTGATCCTAAAGTGAGAAAACAAAAACAAAGATCCTAGATCGCAAGGGGGTGGGGGATGGGGTTGGAGCCCCTCCCGAATGAAGAAGAAAAAACAGAACTTCACTGAATAGCGCGCGGTTCCCCAACTTCCTGTTACGCATTTCCGTCCCTTTTCACGAAACCACTCCCACAAATCTCCAGCAATCGAGAGGAAAGATGTTACACATAAAAAAACTTAAGGCAACAGTTATATCTTCTTCTTTTGTTTTCAAAGCTCCAGTGAGTTTCCACTCACTTCAAACAAAAATACACAAACAAATAACATTGAAAAAAAAATTAAGTCAATTCCTACTTAGGTCAACAAAGAAAATTTTATTTTAGTTATTTTTTATTAAATAATTACAATTAATATGTATATAGATATGACAGAATCCCATTATAAGGTGGCGAAATAAGAGAGCGATTTTCCATTCTATATATGGTGTCAGACTACTGTTTTTTTTTGTTTTTTTACTATTTAATCCTTCATAAATCACATTCTCAGGAATGAGGCCATCCTTGGTCGAATTCGAAACGATCTTTGGATTTAGAAGTCCAACGCGCTATCCATTGCGCTACACACACACGGCGAGAAGTTTTCATTTTTATATATGGTGCTGGACTATTATTTCTGCTTGTTACTATTTACTCATTAATTAAATATACTCAATAAATAACTTTTGAAAAAACTGTATTAACTTCAAGTGCATCCACTACAAGTTTATAAAATGTATTTGAATTTGAGTGGATGAATAAAAAGTATTTTATTAACGATTGCAAATTTGTGAACTAGTAGTAGGAATTGAAAAAGTAACTCGCTTACAATAGATCGCGTAATAGTTTTCATGTGAATATTTGGATATGAGAATAGCAAAACATCATGTACCGCGTGGAGATTCTGAGGTTGATGATCCTGCTGACTGGGGCCGATGATTGGAAAACCCAGTTGTTCCCACAGATTTTCACAGGGATTCAAATAAGGGGAATCTGGGGATCATGGTGATACATGAACGACGTTCTCATTCTCCACGAACAATTTGGGGACAATTTTGTGGTCATATACCATATAACATAAAAACCTAGTCCTGTTAAAATGAATCAACATTCGCAAGATGCACCATTGCCAGGTAGAGGTGCTTTTTATCGGTTGCAATGGATACGCATGCATGGTTATTAGGAGTGTCTTCCAGAAAAATCCATGGAATGCCACTGTAGAATCCTTAGAATGATTCTCATAGGGCACGTGTGGGCAGACTTTTCCAGGGTACGGGATACTTCTAATGTTTTTAAGGTGTTGCGGTCCACCCAATGTCGTAGGTGTGGCTATTCTGTATTAAAATTGTATGTTTTCTTTTCTTAACTCTTGTTTTCGACATTGTATCCCTCTTTTAAAATATGACAGATTACTTAGACGTGGACGTATTGAATGCAGCGTGCAGAGAACATACGTGGACGGATGCATCTGAAATCAAAGTATGCACTTAATTTGTTCATTACCGTATCCCACGCCATCGCGGGACATGACTTCGATGCGTAACAAGGGTGGAATGGAGCATCATGTCGTCATAGCCAGTCCCATGCTATCGCGGGAAGGGCGAATCGTCAACATTTATTCTCCCCTACAGTCGGCGTGTTGGAAAAAATTCATTTATACGGCTGGCATCGCAGTGATCCAATGCCATCATGTGTTTCCAATTAAGGTACATGAGTCGTCTACACATATAAATCGAATCATTTACTCAAGTAACCACAGTCGAATCGATTACGAAAAGCTGATTCTCTAGTCTAGCTGACGTTAGTGATCCAAAAAAAAGTTTCCTTTAGTGTGTGCGTCTTCGGTCTTAGTGAAGGTGGTCATCTAAAAATGTCTTAGCGGTCCACCGGTCGATCGTGATCGACTTAATGCCCACCCCTGTACTAGGGATTGCAATACTGGTATACCGGAATATCGATTACCGGTATTTTGAGCCATTTGTAAAATTTTGTAATACTGGTATTCACAAGTTTAAATATCTTTTTTTTTGTATTTACTAGAAATTTTTTAAACTCTCTCCGCTACTGATCAGGGATCGCCAACCTAGTAAAATAGTATACGTTTTAGTTTTTATGTCTCTTTAATGGGTGAAATTAATTAGACTGTGACAATAAAGTTGCATTGTACAATCAAGAGAAGTGATAAAATATGTGAATTATCCAAGAAGGTGAGCCAATATTACATATCAGAGCGATACTGCACACGCGCAGGATTCGTAGCCTGATATTCGTATGTGTGAAAGCAAGGTTGTAATTGTGAAGAAAAAGCGTAATATTTCGATATTTTTTAAATTGGGGAGTTTGTTATTCACATTGTATTTGCATGTCATACTTGTATTTACATATCATCATGGTTTTATAAATGAAAATGAAAAAGAAGAAAAGAGATACAATTCAAATTTGATCAAGTTTATAGTACATTTTCTTAGAATTTTTTACGCACAAACCTTATCCACATTCAGAATAATTCAGTACAGTTATCGAATATGATTATTTCACTAATGTCGATTATAAAAAAGAATTGTCTCTTGAACAAAAATTAGAATTATCGATTAGTAAAAAAATTTCAACAAACCAAAATACAATACAGAAATCAGCTATATCCAAAACCCATCCGACGAGAAATTGATTTATTTGAAAATGAGAAATTTAGAGGTAAAAACTTGGAAAAAGTATATCGCGTATTGCTAATTATACTGCCAACTAGAGTAGATGCCGAAAGAGCGTTTTCTACAGCTGTTAATTTGTGCTCATAATTACGTTCCAGGCTTAATGACAAAAAATTGTTGCATTATGTTTTTTAAGACTGACCACAGACAATAGTGATATTTATACTTTTTTTATGAAATAAATATGTGTAAATAAGTTGTTCCTTTACTTTTCTGTGATTCTTTATCTTCTGTTATAATTTATAAGTTACAAATTATTTTTGTCATATTTACACTCTCTAATAAAACAAAGAAACGCCTGTATTTTCTTTCTTTTCCTATAATTTCTACTACCGGTTTTAATGTCTAAAAAATACCAAATACCGGTATTGAACATTTGGTCCGTTATTGCAATCCCTAGATTCTACTATGTTCTACTAATGCTACCTCTTTCAAAGAGGTCGAATTTATTTCCTAAAATCTTGAATAAATTACAAATATGCTGTTGACCACACTCCAAATGCAAAATTCATGAAAGAAGCATCAAACCACGCTAAATTTTCGTCATGACTATATCGTCATGATATGCAAATTATTACATTTTAATACAGATGTCACAAATATGTATAGAGGTAGTTTTTTTGCGTACGCAGCTTCAATCATACTTTAAGGAGAATACGAGTGTTATTCAACCACGTTTCTCAGTTCTACCAAAAAGAAAAGTTGTCTGTAGAGAAAAAAAATTTATCCTCTGAGAAGTAGGTGATGCTGTCGAACGTAACCAAGCAAACAGTGATGTGGATCTGCGACTGATAGATACGAGAGGGAACGAGTGGTTCATGACACTATTTGCACCAGCCCCATTGCAGCGCTGCATGTTATGACAAGCATATTGTGAATAATAGAGCGATAGATTGATCTGATACATCAGATTCAAAACGGTCACATTCACATTCAAAACGGTCTTTTGCACAATAATTGGTGTCCGCACATACCATTCGACGTCGTTTACAGTCGAGTGGAATGTCCATAAGATCTCCATTACTGCGATTACATTTGTCTCAAAATCACCGGCGCTTGTGTCTGCAGTGGTGCATCTAACAGTGAACATATGCAACCGAATGATACGATATTGTTTTTACAGACACAGATGAACACCATGATGATGACACCATTACTTAATTCTTTCCTAATGTATCCTCATATTCGCAGTATTATGATTTGGGATGTATTGAATTCCACTCTTGCATCCCTCTTAATACTCATTGTAGGTACAATGACCAACCATTGTTATATTTCTGAGATTTTGGAACCTTTGCCTTCTCTTACCTTTAGAGCTACCCTTCTTCCATATTCCAACAGAATAATGCAATACTACAAATAGAATGCTATGTTTAAGACTTGTGTGTTCACAAGATTGCATAGATGCTTTATTCGGCCTGTTCTCCCGAACTATCGCCAAACGAATATATCTAATCGCGATTTCTGTAATGTTCTTTAGGCAAAAAGGAACTGTGTGTGTGTGTGTGATTGAGAGTGTCTTTCCGGATATACTCTATAATTATCTAGATAATTATTGTCTCTGTAATCCTGTTACTTAATCAGAAAAAAATGTTGATATTCTGATGAAATAAACTTCCAGGTACAGGGTTGTTGCCAGTTGATCCAACGCCATTTAAACCAATCGACACTATTGTTGATGAAAACATAACAGTAAATTTTCCAACCGAGTTTTTGAATTCTCTAGACGTATCGGGAACGTCACCACATAACCTTCGGTTAGTTCCCTGGTTATTATCTGAGTAACTTTAATTCACCTAGATAATCCAACGGCGCACGTTCGATCATCAAAAGAATTATGCCGTGAACTTCGTGAAGCAAACATTTTGACTGTAAAGTTTAAACGAAAATTCGGTTCTGTTACTACGGAATCTGTTGCCACGTATTCCACTGATACCGTCAGAATCTCTAAGACCATTCAAAAAGCTACAATTCCCGATTCGTTTGGCTTTCACGATGACCATAACTGAATCTGAAACCCGAACAATATTCAATTGATACTTGGACTTAAGAAAATCCATGTTTCTCGAATGGGCAACTAGATGTTACATGCTCACGTGTGCGGTAACCGTTGAATCAATTTGAGTTAGCAAAATACGGGTTACCGAAAAATATTGTGCACCGATTAGCGATTAGTTGTATAAAATTATTTGTTGTTATACTTTTAAATGATAAAAATAATTTTAAAAATTGCAAAGAATCAACATTTTTCAGCATATTTATAAAATTTAATCTTCATATGTTGTTACTTAATGACTTCGTTAGTAATTCATGCATTATACTACACTCAAACAGGAGATGAATGAAATGCAAAATTAAAACTAGTTCAACCCTCCAAAATTATAAACGAAGATTAATTTGATAGCTTTGAATAGTTTAGGATAATATTGAACTAACGTATTAAAACAAAGCCACAGCAACGCGTGGCCGGGTCAGGTAGTTATTATATATAATATATATCTTCTATATATATTAATTATTTTCTTGAAAAAACTATATATATTGCTGCCACGTTCAGTTAAAATTATTTTCTCAATGCGGTTAAATTAAATTGTTGATAAATTAGCACAAATTTATTAAATTCAAAATAATACAGTATTATTCTCTCTTTTGAAAAAAATTCCCACCGTGTCTTATACTTGCTTTTAACAGTTTTTTTAAAAAAATGTGTATGACACGACGGAAGATAAACTCCATTCATCCAAAAACGTACGTTTACCAGACTGCGTGTAACAGCTTTCTTAAAAGCAATAATCAACTCGTAGAATAATCCAAATAATGATGAAAAGAGAAACATAAAAACGAAAACTTATACTCATAAGATACCAAGTCCGATGTGAACTT